GAATAAAGAAGATGGGGGGGGGAGGGGATATAGGAAAAGGGGAAAAAAGGGGGGAAAGGGATCAGTCAGTTACAATTTATTTTATTAGTGGTTTTCTTCAGGGCTATTATGGCTTAAAATTTGATTTTTTGAAGGAAAAGATGAGGCCACGACAACAGATGTTGCCACAGATCCTCTTTCACCATGACAACACAAGGCAGCCAGGAATAAGAAAAGACCATCATTTCCTCATAACATTTTTCTCTCACAAGGAAAAGCCACATTAAAGAGCGAAGTCAAACAAGAGACTTGCTAAACCCTGAGGAACAGGAGGTGGCCCTTAGGTTAAAGCCCAGGAGGAAGTCACTACAGATGTTCCACACCAGGAGGAGCTCACATCTTCTGCACATACCCACAGTGCTGCTTCATTCTTCTACAGGATGTACCTGAGGGTATTTTGCAGGGTTTTAAGGGGCAGAAGTACCATAAAATGGTTTGTGTGGGGAGGGACCTTAAAGCTCCTCCAGCTCCAACCCCTGCCACGGGCAGGGACACCTTCCACTAGAGCAGGTTGCTCCAAGCCCCTGTGTCCGACCTGGCCAATCCCCAAAATGACCTCCCCCAATTAATCATCTTGATTTACACCATTGCCAGGATATTAATTTATACAAGAAAAGCCCCCATAGAGAAACTCCAAGACCAGTAATTTCTATGGGAACTGTCACAGCAGAGCCTAAAATCATAAGCTGAGACACATCTTAATCAGAATGTAGCTGGTATCTGGGGTAAAGCAGCTCAGGACAGAGGCAGAAGACGCTCAGTATGTTTTTCTATGCTCCTACATCCACATTTGGTGTTGTTACCCTACAACAACGTCACTCACCAGCATCACTTCCACTTACCAGTATCGAGGCGGGTTTTTATATGCTGGTATTTGGGATTCTGAGGGATGCGCCTGGTTAAATACTGGTTTAAAAAAGAAATGATAAAAGGAGGTCAATGTACAGCTATTATTTGTTTTAAAGGCAAAAAATCCTCCCCATTACAGGAAAGGCAATCTGAGGAGCTCTAAGAGACAGCAAAAAGAAGGGCAAGACCAGAGGCATCTTCTCAGCCATCCCCTGCTCTCAGGCAGACCTCAGAATCATGGCACGGTTTGGGATGAAGGTCCCTCCCCAGCATCCTTGTAGCCCCCTTCAGACACTGAAGCTGCTCTGAGGTCTCCAGCAGCTTCTCTTCTCCAGGCTGAACAGCCCCGATGTTCTCAGCCTGCCCAGGTCAGTATTAAACCCCTCCCAAACTGCCACATTAAAGCCTCAAAAGGAGAATTTATAGAACCATGGACTGGTTTGTGTTGAAGGGACCCTAAAGCT